CGATTACCGCGCTAACAAATCAAAACCTCTCATCTTAATTTGGATTGAATCACCAACTAATTTTGTTTGTCTAAGAATGGCCGAATGTTGTGTTTATTTGATACCTATTATTAGAATATAAAGAGCGCAAAAATAACCTTTGGAAACTTTAAAAAAAAAAAAAGTAAATAAACTTGGTAAAAGAATGATGATATGCAGAATAAAAAGAATAAAATTGATTATATCCTACGTACAAGTAGCCTGTCGGCATAGACACATTCTCTTCAAATCTTTTCAGGCAATAATAAACAATGGAATCGAAAAAAGAAAGAAAAATATAGAGAGAAAGCACAAGTAGTATTATAAAGATGTCTAATCTTACTGATTTGTGAAGATTTTCTGCGCATAAAGTTATGTTGCCTCTCTCCTCCTTCCTACAAATTCCTATCAATACTACATTCTATTTATCTGACAACAATTTACTTTGGCATTCCCTTTCTCACACACAAACCATTCTTCTGATCTGTTTCCAATAGTAACATTTTCATTTTTATTCCAGTAATATATCATAGCAGCCCCATTATGAGTTTTTTCTTAAATTTTTTTTTTTTTTTTTGGGAAATGTTACTTATTTGAATAAGAAATAAGAGAAGATAGATTAAGGTTTAGAAAAAAAAAAAAAAAAAAACACCGTCTAATGGACGCGTTAGGGTGACCACCAATTCAACTGGTCGCCACACTAACTTTTCTTTGGGAAAATTGTAAAAAATGTCCTTCTATAATATACATATTATTAATGTCACCCCTGAATTATGAGTGATGTAAATGTTGCCCCTCAATTATCAAAATAGTGCACATATAGTCCCTCTCGTAATGGATCTGTGCACAATGTATGTATATATATATATATATATATATATATATATATATATATATATATATATATATATATATATATATATAACTGTAAAATAATAAACAAACATAACTACTATCTTTAAAATTTTAGTTGAAATAAATGCATATTTTAAGGGTCATCATTACACTAATATGTAGATTGGACATCGAGTAATCATAATATTCTTTCCTTCTCCTTAGAGGTTAGAACAACTTTAACCCAATAGTTTTAGTGGAGAAATTTTTTAACAATAGGTGGATTGTAGATAAATAAACTTGTAGTTAACAGTAATATCGTAGTTAATATATTATAACTTATCAAATATAACAGTGTTCTAAGTTCACAATAGATGAATTGTAGATAAATAAACTAAAAATATATAATATATTAATGGTAAGTACATAATTTATGTGAATGTATGTCAACAAAGTGTATAGTAAACCATGGTACATGATATAAAAATTGGGTTCGGAATGGGTGGACCTTGAGAAAATGTCAACTATCACGATAAAATAGTTACTATTATGCTAAAAGCAATAGTGCATAACAACAATATATACCACATTCCAATGACAAATACTAGACCCAACACGATAACACCTAGCTACCTCAATTACATAATCAAACATCACGTAATATGTTCTGATAGTGATTATTAGATCAATAGTTCATTGTACTAAAATTATCTAATAGTAAATACATAACTTTATTTCTTTACACTTGCATAATAATACATTTTAATACCATAACGTTCAACGTAAACCTCTAAATAAACTTCCACCAAATACAAACTCCTTTTAAATTAATGTTTTAAAAAAATACAAATTATTTTAATTTGCTAGATGCATGGACCCACCCAGGCCAGTGTGCACACGTGTTTCAGGAATGTAACACCTCCCCCCCCCCCAAACCCCCCAAACCCCCCAAGCAAGCTAGTGCCACCATCATGTCATGAGAACTAAATATAAGAAGCTCCATGCAAGTTAGTTGCCAACACTATTAAAAAAAAAAAAAGTTTCCAAATTCAGTAATTAAGTATGTAGGATATGATTTTATCAAAAGATTATAAGAGCATTATCATCTATAGTTTATTATTTAAAAAAAAAATTGTCAGGTCAACTTTTTTCATTTTTTTCCTTCTTTTTTCTTTCTTCTTTTCTCTTTCACTCCTCTCTCTCCTACTTGGTTTCTTAAAGATTGTGCAAAAACCAAGTTGATGGTGATTGTGGTTCTATAGCAATTACTTCATGAAATAAGCTAGCTTTTTAATCTGGGGTATGGTTAAGTGACAATTACTCATCAGTCATACATCCTTAACCAAATATCAAGGATTCGATCCTGGACTTTGTGTACAGAGCATACTTAAATCTCCATATCAACTATTCCAACACTTGTTTCATACAATAGAGAGTCCCTACAATTCAACGAGTAAATTAGTTACTAATACTCCTGGCTACATCCAAAAGGAAATAAGCTAGCTTTTTGGTGCCCAAGCTCTACCCTAACACCACAGGGTTAATTTTGAAAGAAAGTTATAAATACTTCTTCTCTTTCCTTTTCTAGTTAGTTAAAGTGACTAAAATATTACAGTCTTTATTTCATTTTAAATAAAAAGCAATACAAGAAAAGTGAAAGTGCTTACCACTACGTTAAATACTATAGTTAATAGTAAATACACAATCTTATTTCTTTATACTTGCATAACAATCAACGTTGAGTACGTAACTTCAATATTAAGATATTGTATTTAACTCTCCAAATCTCCACCCAACAAAAAGATACAGGCCAGTATATATAGGGAAATATATACACATCTGATTTGTTGCAAACAAGCTAAGAAACATGAATGTACAAGTTGTAAACCAAACAGAAGCTGAGAGAGAGAGAGAAAAGAAAATGTGGCATTTGAAAAAAGAAGTTTACCTACGTATCCGACAACCTCATCATTTCATATGTAATGTTCAAACTTGCAATAGATTGCCCTAACCCTCTTCCACAGAAATTTCTTTAAAAAAGAAAAGAAAAGAAAGTTGAAGCAATGAGAGAAAGAGAGATAGATATACACAGAGATAGAGATAGAAAGAGAGAGGGGGTAAGCAAAGAGGCAGGCAATATATGTGATGAATTCCATGCAGCAATAATGGCCATTTTCAATCAGTGTTTATAAAGTCTTCCGAAATTCATGATGATGGAGTGTGGCATCAGATGTTTGGTGGGGTCTAACGTTGTCTCTCCATTTAATTTTATTCTATTTCTTGTCTCTTGTGTTTCGTATGTTTGTTTAAACACACCCAAGAAAGAAGAGAGAGAAATCATAAAATTTTCAACTTCAATTTCCTTCTCAACACAGAATTGAATGTTATATATGCTATTGTTGAGACTTAGTATTCTTTCACCAACCACTACTCTTATCCAATATCTAACATCCAACATTTACATACATAATGCATATATATATAGATGAAAATATGCATCTCATAATCACATACAACTTTATACTGATTAACTTGTTTAAATTGAATATATATATATATATATATATATATATATATATATATATATATATATATATATATATTGTTTGGATAATGGCCAGTTGCCCACAACTCAGTTGGCTTAGCCTATGGGTTCAGCCCAACAAGCTCATTTAGCACGAGGAGTAATGACAAGCCATGCACCAAATGGCCCAACATATTATAAGCGGCAGATTATATTATGCACCACAGTCCATAATCGATTATGCACCGCGCGTCTTTTTTTTTAAATGAAAATTAACAGTGTTTATTTCCGTCGTTTCGCACCCTTTTGCAAAAAGTAATTCTGTTATTCAATGTCATTTTGTAAACACTGCAGTTTCAGTTGAACACAACTACAATTTCATTTTGATATAACTATAGTTTCATTCGATATTTATAGACTCAAATATGTGAAAATGTTATTTAATTTTATTTTATATACACTATAGTTTTATTAAAACACAACTACATGATCATTTTGATATAATTACAGCTTCATTGTACAATATACACTCGAATATGTGAAATGTTATTCAGTTTCAGTTTATATACACTGCAGTTTCATTTCACTATAACTACAGTATCATTTTGATATAACTGCAGTGTCGGTTTGGATATACTGTAGTATCAGTTGGTGTTTAATACACCAAACAAACGGAATCCGTTAACTCTAACGGCGGGCCGTTTCTTTACTTAAAGAAACGGCGCCGTATATGGGCCGCGGTGCATAATCGATTATGCACCGCGGTCTATAATATAACAACTGATTATAAGCGGCAAATTATATTGTGGACTAGGTCCCCAATACATTGTGGTCTAGACATCAAATATACACTCCAGTTTCATTTCAACACAATTATAGTATCATTTTGATATAACTACAGTTTCATTTTGTATACAATGTAGTTTCATTTCAACATAACTACAATTTTATTTCAATTCAATTCAATTGCAGTTTCATTTGATAATATAATAAAAATAATACGTGAGACAGTGTCAGTTTAAACTTTAGATACACTATAGTGTCTGTCGTTTTGGACCATGGTCCACAAAACTTTGTGGACCGCTGTCCACGGTATAATTGTTGATGTTAAGAGTTTATGTCTATTATGTTAAGAGTTTATATATGTGTATTATGTTAAGAGTTTATGTGTATTATGTTATGAATTTATGTGTATTCTACTATACAATTATGTACATTCGAAACAGTGAATTTTTTTTTTTTTATAAGTTAACAACGAAAACGGGAAACATAATTTCTATAAAATAAATAAATTAAAAAAAAAAAAAAAAACAGATACAAAACGACATTATTTTGACCAAGGCCCACACGATATATATAATTTTCCATTATAAGCCAATTGGTATACCATGGACCAATTGCAAATATAAATTTTTGTAGCCTAACTTCTGTTAATCAATAATGCATGCATCCCACACGTAAGCTTAGCCAGCCTCCCAAAGAGCATGTAGTAAGGCAGCAAAAGAAGCGTGTTGTAACAACGCGGTTGCCGGTGGGTCACACAATCTGCGCTGGGCAGCAATATAATATAAAAGGAAAGGATGGGGACATGCCCAATCTCTTCTTCACCTTCCCCGGCCCGCCCGCCCGCACAGTGCCAAGTAGACATGCCCGCCCCAGTTTACTCTATTTTGCTCCCGTACTCGCCGCCGCGAAAGTCCTATGGGCAACCAACCCGCCGACGGTTTTACTAGGGCGCGCGAGTACTCAAACACGGGGGCTTCCACGCAACAGGGTAAAATGGGGAGGTCACCCGGCCACAATTATATTCGTCCCTCATTTTTTTTACCCAATCTCTTCTTCACCTTCCCCGCACAGTGCAAAGTCAACATTTCACAACCATAGAAGCCTCTCCGGTGTTTGCGTATTCCCCATAGTACAATGTATTTTGCCCAAAAAAAAAAATCATTAGCTAAGGAAACCGTGTCACTAAATACATTGTACTATGGGAGTACTCAAACACCGGACGGGGCTTCCACGCCAACAGGGTGAAATGGAGGCGTCCAAGTTCACTCCCGGCGGCTCTTGATTACCCGCCACAAATGTGCCTCTCACTTCTATATATATCAGATTGTATTGTGATATTGTCCATTGTCATTTTAATCTTGCAGGGTTCACTCTCCTCGGGAATTCAATGCTATTTTGAAGAAGTGAGACTGGATCGAGTTGTTTGAGCCTCCTTCGGAGATTGCTGACATGTTGGATACTGAGAAGATCGATGAGATTGTCCTTTTGTAGAAGGGATGATTGAACGTTGTTGTTTGGGTAACCCCTCCCTCTCCCCATAAAATATATATATATATATATCCTTAGTTTCTAAATATTATTGTGATTAAACCTTAGTAAGGATGGCCGGATTTAATTCTCGCCTCATACATTTAGATTAGATGTGTGTTTATTTTATTTGTGAATTGATATGATATTTTAATCTTGTTATTTTAGAGTTTGTTATAGTTAGTTGTATTGGGTTGTTGTTGATGTAATATAAGTTTTTATAGTATTTGTCAATGTTTTCTAAAAAAAATAGTAAAGATGAAAATATACTTATTGTTATGGTTCACATAACAAATATGATCCACATAATAATTTTTCAGTTGGCCACAACTCAATTGACTTAGCCTATGGGTTCAGCCCAACAAGCAAATTTAGCCCGAGAGTAATGACAAGCCATGCACCAAATGGGCCAACATATTACAAGTAGACCTAACAATTATGGATACGACCCGTTAACACGACACGAAACTGAACACGAAAATAACGGGTTAGTGTTTAACCTTAACGTGTCTTGAGTTGACCCGTTATGTTTCGTGTCTTAACGAGTTAACCTGTTAAACCTATTAAGAACCCGTTTAACGTAACCCGTTAATATTATCGGTGTTAACTCGTTTACACAAACTTGTTTGTAACCCGCTAAAATCCATTGTCATTTAGGTAAGAACCATTGTCATGAATGAGATTACAAAATATATCATGAACATGACTAAGGATTAATTTACTTCATTAGGCCAAGATCATACACCAATTATTGATGTTCAACAATCTAAAATTTCAATTTTATTCTTAAAGCTAGCATGTACTTCTTTAATTATGATTTTGGATGTTATTTTATCATTTTTATGAATGTTATAAATTGAATATTTTTTAGTTTGTTTGATGGATTGAATTGTAGGTTTAATTTTTTTTTTATACAACTTAACTTTAAATTTTATTTTTTAATATATTAATAGGTTTAAATGAGTTTCGTGTCATATCGTGTCGCCACGACCCGAAACCTGTTAACAAAATGTGTTTATCGTGTCAACCAGTTAACAAATCGTGTTCGTGTTAAAATTTTGAACCCGTTAACCTTAAACGTGTCGTGTCCGTGTTTAGCCTTATCGTGTTCGTGTCGTTATCGTGTCGACCCCTTAACGAACCCGTATACACGAATTGTCATGTCTAATTACAAGCCTAGTTAACCATACCAATTAACCAATAGTTATGTTGTGCAACCGTGTGCACCATGCATGGTGCATACAGTTGCAAAACGGCGTCGTTTTGACTAAAAGCGCGCGCCCCATTTTTTTAAAGAAAAAAAACAGTTTTGATTCCCCTCAACAGCATTATATTGTGGATATATAGTTATTATGAATTATTGTGGATATATAGTTATGAATTTATGGATATTTAATTAGTTCATTCATTGTGGATATTTTGTTCATTCATTGTGAATATTGTGTTATTCATTCATTTTGGATATATAGTTATGAATTTGTGGATATATAGTTATGAACTTGTTGATATATAGTTATGAATTTGTGGATATATAATTTAAATTATGCACAAAAAAATGCTATTGCCGGGAATCGAACCTGAATTTATTTTTTTTAAAGTGGAACGCGTGTTTTTAGTCAAAACGACGTCATTTTTGCAACCGTATGGTGCACACGGTTGCACAGCATAATTTGCGTCAATTAACTTGGCAAATTATTCTATGGATCTGGATCTAAAAATACACAATTTATATATTGAATGTTCATAATTTACATAATGAATGTTCACAATTTTTATATACTAAATGTTCACAATTTACATACTAACAGGGCGTTTGGTTAGAGGAAATTTAAATAATTAAATTTCATTCCCACCTAATTTCAAAAGCCACTAAATTTCTTTGTTTGGTGGGAAGGTATTGCAATTCCTTTATTTTCATGGAATTAAAATCTCATGTCCCCCGTAATTTTAATTCCATAGATTTTAGAAAGAAAAAAAATGATAATCATGAAACAAAATTACCCCTTACTTTCTTTAACTTAAAATTGATGCCCACAACATTTTGAACTTTATACTACTTATTCCCTTTTAATTCTCATATATACCAAATATTGGAATTAAATTCCCAATAATTAAGAAGAGTTTTTTCAAGTAATAATGCACCATTTGTTGCAGCCATGAAATCACCATCAGCATTAATTAATAATTAGACAATAATCTCCTTCAGTAAAGTTATATACATACAATACATGCATGCAGCTGGCACACTATCTGCGTGTTGTAACAACCCTCAGATCCCATCCAAAGGGCGTGGAAGCTGATCGAGCCGCAGCAATATAAAAGGGTTCATTGCAACGAACAACCAGGCAGGGTACATTATTGAAGGTTTCTCTTATTGTGTTAGGCCTGGCCGGTAATCGGAAACTCATGCAGTCATCTGCGGTTTTTCAAGTCAATATTGTGGTGGCTAAGGAAGGATGGATTCCATGGAATGCGAGTAATATTGGGCTGAATGATTTGTACTATGGCGAATACGCAAACACGGGAGCAGGAGCTTCCACAGCTAACAGAGTCAATATGGTTCAGCTGTGACTGGAGATAGATTTATCGGTAAGGGAATCACCTTCCGAAACACAGTTGGAGCCTCAAACTTCCAAGCATTGGCGTTTAGGGCGGAGTAAAATGGGCTGGGTATCATCTGATTACCAGCCCGGGGAAGCCACTCAGTTCCCGGTGGAAAACCTAATCGATGGTAACTCATGGATACCAGAGACGGGTGTGCCCTATACTCCTGGTCTATAACCAGTTACCATTTTTGTCTTTCAGTGACTTGGCTGTGTGCTAGCTAGCCAGGCCATGTTTGGAACATCTATATGAGAGGTCTGTGGGTATCCTCAATGGATAAGCTGAAAAAGTAGTTTATGAACAGATGTTAAATTGTAATAGAGTCAGTAGCATTTTATCAATTTATATAAACATTTTATTTTCTTCTATAACAAACATTGGTAAACGTAGTAAAAGTAGTTTATGAACAGATACTACATTGTAATAGAGTCAGTAGCATTTCATCAATTTATATAAACATTTTATTATCCATAAATCCCCATTACTGCCATTTTTTTTAGTTTGAAATATGGCATGTGGCATCACCATGTTCCTGTTTTTTTTTTTTTTTTTTTTTTTTTTTTTTTGATTGTCTTTTCAAATAAGCCGAAGCTTTTATTGAATGACAAAAGACATAATGCTTTACAAATACCTTAGGCCCAAAAGTAACCTAAGGTTAACAAACAGCAAGGGCTAAAATAGCATAAGTGTACTCAGGGCCGAAAGGCCTTACAAATTAAAGGGCTAAGTATAGCCTAAACTGTCCATGGGCCCAAGGCCCTAACAATGAAAAGGTTCAAAAGAACTAAACAACAAAAGGCCTAAGCTGCCCAAAGGTAAAGAAACACACGGCCCAAGGCCTTCTTGCACGGCAAATTAATGCATGGACTATGGTCAATATAGCTGTGTGGACCATGATCCAAATCGCCATCGTTTAATACCTAAAAAAAGAATCTTTAGATTTTGATGCCGTTAATCATTTGTTTCCTCTCCTTCATCGGTCATGTGGACCATAACATAAAGTACATTTTTAATCTACTAAATGTACATTATAACATATAATGTACACTCAGTACAAAAATAATGTACATCTCCTGAATACAATGTACTTTATTTTATAATATACAAAATTGATCCATACAATTTGTATGGACCATGATTCACACAATAATGATTGAGATGTATTTGATCATATATTTTATTTAATGGATACAGCCTGTTGGTACAAATTAAAATATATCAGCCTGTTGGTACAAATTAAAATATATATATATATATATATATATATATATATATATATATATATATATATATATATTTAGTTGATATATATTGATTATGTTGATCATGATTGAATCAAAGCAAATTATGGTGATTTATGTATGTGTGTACGTGTGCCCTAAACCCTAGGGTATAGGATTTAGGGTTTAGCGATCGACATATGTAAAAGAAGAACTAATTAATTAAGATAATGCAAATTGAAATTTATTGTGTGTCATTGTATTTAAATTATTCTAAAAAAACATACATGAAAGAAAAAAATAACGAAAATATTATTCTTGCGGGTAGTGTTGAAGACATACCCCTCCCATATTTTTCTTATAATCTTCTCCTATTGTTAAGGCATATGGTTGAATTTTTCAATACTTGATTATTGAATAATTTTATTTTTTAGGATGGAGAGGATTCAAAATCAACAAATTAAATTAAAACCAAAAATAAACCATATATCCAGTTCATAATATTGAGTAGGTAAGGTGCATGTATTGCATGCAAGCCACTACTTCACGGTGAACGTAACATGCATGATATGGAAGCATGCATGTTGTATATCATGCCTAAATTCAAGCTAATTAAGGAAGATAATCAAGGGATCCTACACTATAAAAGGGGCTTTAATTTGTGTAAGAGTTGAAGGGGTGAATATAAGGACCCGATTGGCCGTGGAAGATAGATACATTTTAATTTCTTGCTATTTTGTATCTATCACACTAGTTTTATATATATATATATAACGGTGTTATTTTGTAAGATGGGTTATTGTCTGATTTTGGTTTTTGGATCTTTCATTGTAGGGGTAGGAACCTATATTTCTCTTAGAGATATTCTTGGAGGTAAAACTAACCTATCTCTTACCTCCAAGAATATCTCTAATAGAAATATAAGTTCCTACCATGGCAATCAAAGATCCCAAAACCAAAATTATGACAATAACACACAACTCTATCCCAAATCTTCGACAATTTACGTTAATCTTGAGGTAGCATGCACATGGGAACAGAAATAACAATGTGACATTCAAGAAGTTCACATCTAAGTGCATTGGCGGGACGAAACTTGGATTGCTGTCTTTAATGGCTATCGTGATGGAGGCTGTTGATTTTATGACTTTTGGGTAATCAATGGCTGACAACGTCACCATTAAATTAACATATTATGTGCCTTCAACTAACATATATTATGTGTCTAAAATTTATTTATAGACACAAAATATGTTAATTGAAGGCACATAATATATTACCGTAAATATATAATTAGATGTTATTTTTTAACTACAAATGTTAGGCATACCCTGGTTTATGGTATAATCTAAAAACATAATAAGTCTCAATCAAGGTTATACTCTTGATTTATGTCCTTTTT